ATTTGTGGAGAGCCATGATCACCTTCATAAGGGATTTGGCATTACCAAATATCTTGAAATTTTTTGCAGTATTGTTAATAGGAGGTAAGTGTGCCCTTACTGTTAACAGTCAGTAGACATGAAGCTTTCATGCATATGCATTATTGATCTGATATTCCCTCTTTTAAGCTAATTTTAATATAATTCTTTTTTTATGAATAAATAATTCAATAACTTGTAACTTAAATTCATTTATTTTGGGATTGCTGAAATTCTCAAGTGAATGTCATTATAAATGGTGACCTCCTAACAGGATTTGAACACACAACTACAACAAAAAGTCACCTCATTACAAATGTTATCATTATAAAAAAAGACATACTGTCAAGAATTAAAGTGGTTAAACATTACTTTGAATGAATGTCCAGTTGATAGTTCATACCCCAACACAACAAAGATCACATGTGAAAATTCTATATTTTCCTTATCTGTTAACTCTGTTTGATCTGATTACCATCTATTTCAGAATTTAAAGAACTATCTTCATTGACTTGTACATTCTCTGCATTTTTTCATTCAAAAATAGTTATATGAAGTTATTATTGGAGCAGACTCCCACATAGATGCTTCCCAAATCACTACATTCTTAACCACTAAGGTCAACTCTTATCTAATGGCTCTTGATCCCTTTATTGGGAAAACATTCATTTCACTGATGTAGTTTGTTTTCCCTTTTTTAGGCAACCCAAAATTAATATTTAGGGTGATGACAAATATTCTATTAACCTTAAGTCCTGTTAGGCTATTCCAAAATGGCAAATCCTACTGTACTGGTCAGAACTCTGATGACCCAAACTGAGTTTGAATCTCATGGACAAGGATTCTTGACAGTGATGGGTTGTCTTTATTTAAATTTTAATATAAGTTCAAAAGATGTGAAAAGACAATCAGTGTGGTTGCAGCAATAGAAAACTGAAGAATCCTCCCCGACTCCCAGATTCTTTGACATGTCAGAGTTTCAGTAGGTGGTGAGACAATCTACCACAAGGTGATAGGTAGTTAACTGACCAGTTGAGGACCATTCTCTCCCTCATTCTCTTGCTTCCCCCAAGAAATGATGCCTAATATGTCCCACCCTTGAAATAAACCAAGTAAAAGAAAATCTAAAGAAAATAGTCATTCATTCAGTCTGTGATGCAGCATTGGGACCATAGGAACTGCCAATAGACCACAATAACCCAGAGATGACATGCAATGCAATAGTCCACTAGCAGAATTTGGGACAAATTTTTTAGTTTCCAACAATACCAAGAATAAATAAGAAAAAGAAATTGTCTCGAAAATGAACTTCAATTTGTTTTTAACTAGGGGAAAAATGGCTTGTTAATTTTGACACCTCCAAAATGAAACTTCTCTCTTTTAGTTGTCTTAGAGAATCTTTTTTATCTTCCATCAGCATGGTTGATGCTAGCCTCTAATATAGTAACTCATTGCACATCAGTCTAATGTTTTCCAGAGATATGAGGTGGAATGATTATATTGAATCAATCACTAGATTTAAAGCTAAGAAAGTTCACTGTATTGTTCAAAATAATTTTTCATTGCCAAAATCTATCTTGTACTTTTATAAGTCTACTATTTGCCCATGCATTGAATATTGCTGCAACATCTGATATGGTGTTTTTGCTATGTATCTAGAGATTATTCCAAAGAAAAATCTGCAATATTATTAGTTCTAACCTGTCACCTCAACTTCAGTCATTTTCCCACTGTAACGTAACTTCCATGTGCCTTTTCTATAAATTTGTTCATGGTAATTGTTCTGATAATCTATTGTATCTCAATGTCACATATTTAAGCACAGTACTAGATTGACAGCTAGGTCTCATCATTTTATAGTTGAAATTGATAAATGTAACTGTCAGTTCTATTTTAAGAGCTTCTTTTCTCACTCTTCTTGCTTGTGGAACTTTTTTCCCACTACTTGCTTTCCTGTTAACTATGATATTTCAATGCAAAGCAATCATCATTTTCTATTTCTTTGAATCTCGATCTTTTATTATTCTCCTCATTACTCAATAAGATTTTCTCAGATTCTTTCACTCTAAGTAAACCCTTGAGTCTTAGTGGTTTTATTGCCTTGCTTGGAGTGAAATGGTTAAAATATATAGGTAAATAGCAATGGCTAACTTTTATGTTGCAACAATCAAGCAAAAGAACTGTCCATAAATGGGTATTTATAAAACTGTACAAAAAGCTTCTTCTAAGCTAATATTATTTAATGTTTTTTAGAGCTGACAGTTTTTAAGTTTGGCTTTATGTCAATTGAAAAAGTTCTGCATGTATGTGCTTGAAAGAGAGGATATGCTGATAAAAAATATAAAGCTTGTTCATATACAACATTTATAAGGAAGACAGTGACTTTGTATCTGCAGCTGGTAGTTTTATGAGTAGCAGTCATTCTGGTTCTTTTGAAGTTGCTGCAGCACCAAATCATATTTTTGACACAAGTGAATTTTCTATTACTGACTTCTTTGGTTACTAGCTTGTTTTTTTATTTGTTTTGAGATCAACCACCATCTCCCAGACTTAAGGGTTTGGGTAGAAATAGAAATAGAATCATTTGATTTGTTTATTATTCTATCTAGACAAACACATGATATTTTCTTTACTACATCTTTCAGAATCAATCTGGCTCAATTGAAGCTAATTTTCTTTTTCTTCTACAAACCATATACAAGCATTATGTCTCTTTGGGTGGTTGTGTGGGGATTACCCCACCTTCTCTACCAGGATGCTCACTAGGTGGTGTTCTATTCAGGACTACAAAAGGAACACACATGAATCCTCTTCCTCACTTTTTCACTCCATGATGCAGCAACAATATCAGAACCTCTCTCTAGAGTAGAAGATTTCTGCCCTGCAGCAAACCAAATAGTTAATTTAAAACAAACCACGTGGACATCACACACACACACACACACACACACTATAGCTAAGTATAAATGTTTTCTTTCCTGTATATATGTAAATATAATTTTTTTCTTTCTGTTCTTTTGTGAGCTATATAGTTCTTTATACAATTATATACATAAAATTCATCCACATGTTGAAATTCATTTCTTTTCAAAATGTTAAAATTGTTTCTTTTGAAACTTTGTGGTTATTATATCCATGATATTACACCAGAATACAACCCCAAATTTATGGAGGGTTGCTGGTAAGCCACATGTACTCAAATAAACTGGGTGACTGCTTTTGAAGAGAATGAAACACAACTTATACTATTTAAATATATCCAATATCCAAATACAGAAAGAAAAAGGAGAAATAGAAATGTTTGTGGACAATGTGTGTCTGCAGACTTAGCTTTGGAGAAAAGGTGTCCAGTTATCTTGTCAGCAGTTCATTCAATGTGCAGCTAACTTCTTTTGATAGTAGTAATTTCACAGCTTCATAATAAATCATTCCTACAGGGAAGAAATTGTTTTTCAACTTGATTCTTTTTCAAGCTGAAATGAAAAATCCTGAATCCAGATAATTTTCATCATTTAAAATTCTCATAACTTTGGTTTTCCCTTATCATTTATCATTTGAACAAAAATGACATTTTTTTTATGTGCTGAGTTAGAAAAGACAAAACTTTTTTTTAAATGCTGATCAATCTAAATATCTAAAGACATGGTGATTTATCCTCAATAATACATCAGGAAAAAAAACCAAATTTATGGAGGCTTGTTGCTAAGTGACATGTGCTCAAATGAACAAGCTGACGGCTTTTGGGGAGAAAGAAACACAACAAACTGTAATATCTAAATACATCTAATATTCAAATACAGAAAGAAAAAGAAAAAAAAGAAATGTTTGCAGACAATGTGTGTCTGCAGACTTAGCTTCGGAGAAAAGGTGTCCAGCTATCTTGTCAACGGTTCATTCAGTGTGCAGCTGGCAGTAATTTCACAACTTTTTCCAATTTCTGTGATTCATAATAAATCATTCCTACAGGGAAGAAATTGTTTTTCAACTTGATTCTGTTTCAAGCTGAAATGAAAAAGCCTATCCTGGATCCAGATGATTTTCCTCATTTCAAATTCTCATAATGACTTTGGTTTTCCATTATCACTTGACCAAAAATGACATTTTTTTTCATATGCTGAGTTAGAAAAGACAAGTGTTTAAATTCTGATCAATCTTCATAACTGAAGATGTAGTGAATATATCTGCATTAATACACAACGAAAGAATCCCAAGTTTATGGAGACTTGTTGCTAAGCGACATGTGCTCAAATTAACTAGCTGACAGCTTTTGAAGAGAAAGAAACACAACATCCTGTAATATTTTAATATATTTAACATCCAAATAGAAAAAGAGAAACAAAGAAAAACAAGTGCTTGCAGACAATGCATCTGTGAACTTAACTTAGGATAAAAAGATTCTGTGTATCTTTTCAATTGTCCTTGTTGAAATAGTAAACCCTTTCAGTCCACAGTTAGCTTATTTAGAGATTAGTAATTTCTAAGATTGCCGGTACCATTCTTCTGACCAGGGCTTATGGCAAAGGGTGCAGCCTGCTTGTGCCACCTTGGTAACAATATATAAGAAAAAAGAGAATGGGTCTTTGAATTTGGCACTTATATAGCCAGGGCCATGTGACCTTTACAGTAGTGATTGGTCCTTTGTTTAACCATTCAGCATCTTCATTTTATTCTATGCTTGATTATTTTTATTTTCTGGTTGATTATTCTAAATTCCAATTCCTCATAAACCTCTTTGTCATAATTCTTAAACACCTGTAGCCTTTATAAGGAAGTACCAGCTTCTAAAAACTGGTGAGCAACAATAATCTTGTCTATTATAATCCTGTAACCTCACTCCGCATCAGTTTCTAAATTTTTGTGTTATTTTTTGCTATTGGTCAAAGATGGCAGGTCAAAGCTTCTTTAAATTCAAAATAAATATATTTGGTCTTTTTATACTTCTTTTACTGTTAGTGTCTTTATTTCTGTCTTTATTCCATCCATATTGAAACACCAGTTCTCATATGACCACTGAAGTTAAGCAACATCAAGACTGATCAGTAGCTAGATGGGTGACTGCTTGGGATAACCAGGTGCTGTAAGCTTGCATGTGTGGTTAGTGTAATTGATAATGGCTCGGAACTGGAAATTAGAGAGCCAAATTCCGATTCCAGTATGGTTTGTTATATTTACTTATGCATATATACCCTTCAGTAAGGTATAAATCCACCCCTTCTCTCCCCTGCTGTGGGTTAATTAATAGAACTAGTATCAGTAAATCCTTATTATCACCAAATAATTCTTACAATCTTGAAATATTTTCTGGCTTTTGATAAGCCATAAAAATCAATCAATTTTTCTTTATTGTCCATAAATTGCTATTGCTTCTTAATAGAGTGACTTCTCATAGTCTTCTCCATGGTATGAAACTCAGAGCTTTTTCTTCTTGATTGCTTACTATCCAAGGCTAGAGGATTTAGTCTACTTTGCTATTTAACCTATTGCTGGAGGGAGAAAAGAGACGAATTTATGCCTTTCTCAAAAAGTTTCTTTTCTCGCATTTCTCACCTGTAGAACACCCTTTTGATTTCTTCCTTCCCTGTCACCTACAATCTTCAAAAGTTTAACTGAAGCATCAATTGCCATTTGACATTATCACCTAGCTTAGGATTAAAAATGACTAAAAAGATGCAACCATTTTACTTAGCTAGATGCAACTTTTAGTTCTATTCTAACAGTTTCTTTTCTTGCACTTCTCACCTCTGGGATTCACTTCCAGTTCTTACAGAATGGAAAAGTCAGGGCCAGAATGGTCAGCAATTTGTTGGAGTGTCTTGTTGATATGTCAGCAATGGATTGCCTTTGTCTGGCTTTTGGATATAAGTCCAAAATGGTGTGAATTCTACAGAGGACCACAAGAATTCTGAAGCATCAATATACGCCTCCACGCCTGGGTTAGCAACCTGTTAAAACCACCCACGAAGATACACTGAGTAAATGTGCAGCATGCATTCCTGTGACATCATACTTCCCACTGCCTCTTAGAATAAAAGCTGCCACCACCTTCTCCTAATAAAATGAATCAAAAAAAGAAATTGTCCTTTTTTTTGATTCCATTTTATGTAGTCACGTAGGAACCCAGAGATGACACAGAATGAATCACAGTTTATTGCATCCTTGCAACCTAAAATCTTTAAAAGTTTAAATGCAATGCCAGTCACCATCTTCTGTCTTCCTGAATCCTGTTCCTCTATTAACCATTCCTCCCTTTTCTTCCCTAAAGTCTTCTCATTCTCTTTCACTCACTGTAAACCCTTGCATCCTAGTAGCATTATCACCTTGTTTGGGGTGAAATGATTAAAAACAAAAAAAAAAAGTGACCACAGGAGACTAGTCCAGAGTTTGAACTTAACATGCTTATTCCATTTTCTGTACTGATATCCATAATAGTACCCACACATCATATGTTTTTGGCAATCAGCTGAAGCAAGATCTAAAGAATAAGGAAGGCAAAGAATTTCTTTGCCAATCAAGATCTTCAATCATCCTAAATGTAATCTTTGCCATTCTCATGACAGGACACCATACTTTTGTCACAGAACAAATTCAGCCTCTTTTCTTGCCAAGCAATTAGTGGAGATATTTATAAATTAAATTTTTATCAGAGGGGAAATGTTTAATATCTCTACTTAAAATTGTTTTACTCATTAAGGATATCCACAGAGATAAAAAGATTGAAGCATTTCTCAAGTAAACAAAGAAACTGAGGCAAAAAGAACAACTAAAATTATTTATAGATATGCATTTTCTAAAACTCATTTAATTAAAAGGTGGCCTTAGGTTGTAGCAAATTTAGAGGATCCTTCATTACAGTGATTCTCTAGAAAAAATAGTCAGTTACAAGTCTGAAGTGTAAACAAAACTAAGTCACAAGTCCAGGGTATAGCAGAATAAAAGAACAGTTGCAAGTCCAAGGTGTAGCAAAAGTAGTCATAAGTCACAAGTTCAAATCATAGCAAAACAAACAATCACAAGTCTGTTTTACCATGGTAATTAAAACGTTTATGATTAGGTTTCCTCTTTGGTACCTCAACTTTATGAATTTAAATGCAGTAATAGATTGGCAGATAGGTCTCATCACTTTGAAGCTGAAATTGTTAAATATAACCATAAGTTCTATTCTAATAGTCTCTTCTGTCAAATTTCTCATTTTTGGAACTCTCTTCCATCTTTTTGTTTCCCTGTCATCTATGATCTTCAAAAATTTAAATGCAATGTGAATCATTATCTTTTGCCTTCTAAATTCTTGTTCCTTTATTAAACAAAAATTAAGTAGACAAAAGTTAACAACTGACATTGCATTTAAATTTGGCCTCTCTCCTTAATAATGTTCTTTATTTCTCAGATTCTTCCACACTCAGTAACTGTTTGTGTCTTAGTGACTTTGTTACCTTGCTTGGGGGGAAATGATTAAGAAAAATGTCTGAAATGTACCAAAATAAAAACTCACAAGTCGACGTGCCGGAAAACAATCAATTTTATTGTTGATGTATACAACTTTTTTCCACCATGTCCTGAATCAACAATTGATTCTTCTCATGAGAATCCCAATCAGCTTTTCTTTCTTTTTGCTTGTTATCCCTTCAATCTGTATTATTTTCCACCCTACAACCCCTTTCTCACAGACATTTTCCTACTATATCGCTATTTCCACCAAAAATGTTCTGACGAAATTCATTCTTTAGTTCTATCAGTCCCTAATTGCGTCCTGGGTATGATGATAAACTACATCTGCATCCTGGGTATGATGATAAATTACGTCCGCATCCTGGGTATGATGATAAACTACATCCAACAGCAAGGCCTCTGATAACAAGTTTTTGAAAGAATAATGTTGCCAGCTTTATGTTTCTGAAAAAATAATATTAAAAGCTATACGTTTTTGAAAAAATAATATTACCAGCAATACGTTTTTGAAAAAAAAAAAAAATAATATAACCAGCTATACATTTTTGAAAAAAATAATATTACTAGCTATACATTTTTAAAAAATAATATTACCAGCTATACATTTTTGAGGAAAAAATATTAACAGAAATGGATTTTTGACAAAGCAAAAATATTAACAGGAAAAAAAAAAGTTTTCGGCATTAAATGACCCATTGAGGTTGATATGCTGTAAAAGAAAACAAACTAAACCAAACTAGTCCCTAATTTTCACCACTAAATCCCACCATACCACAAACATTGTAACAAACCAACCACATCCTCTTCATATTCGGTTGGTGAGATGAAAGTTTCACTTGATCAGCTTCTTCCCTTGAACAACAGCTTTGTGTAATTGACTCCCAAGTGGAAGCTTCCTTGATCACTACAATCTTCAAGTCTAGGGTTAATCGTTATCTTGCCCACATACCTCCATAAACTGTACCTCTTACTCTGTAACCCTCTACTTCAAGTGGCTCTTGGGCCTTGTACATGGTGAACATTATTATATAAAAAAAATAAATGTTGATCCCCATGAAAATTGAATAATAATCATGTTTTTAATTGTTTGATGAATCATAATTCCCAATTTCTTTTTTTTGTTTTTTATTTATTTATATAAATATTTATTCTCCTTTCTGTTCCTTTCTGTTTTTAAATGATCTTCCTGTTTTCTATTTCACTGTAGCAAACCGCCTTCATTCCCTTCATATTCCATTATTGAGAAGTAAGTTCCACTTGAATAGCTTCTTCTGATGAAAAGCTACCTTGTGGAATCGACTGCCAAGTGAATATTTCTCCAACCACTAACATCTTAACCTATTCAACTCTCAGTTTAAGTATTATCTTTACCACATATCCTCATGAACTACACCTCTTACTCCTTCAGTAACCCTCTATATCGAATGGCTCTTGGGCCTTATATAGGGTGAACATTAGTAATAAATAAAAATAATAAAAATAAATAACAGATTTCACTGTTGTGATGAGGATATTGTTCCTCACCTTTCCAATAGTCATTTAGCATAAAAATAAAAATGAAACATCTGAGAATATAAAATTCCATATGAATTATCTTCCCTTGTTTTACATTTCCAAGAACAACTTTTAAAAACTTCAGGTAAAGTTAAAATTCAGATATTTGTTGGCTGTTCAAAAAATATACAGATCATTCTGAGCACCAAAATGCCATCCATTTAAAAATTAGCCAGGTTTTATTAGTAATATTAGTAAGGTTGAGGAATTGAAGAGCTGAGTTCAAATTCCACTCGAATCCATTACAGTCATTGATATGCTAATACCCTTGGGAAAGGGATGAATCCTCTTCTTCTCCCCCCAGCTATGGGTAAATAGCAGGACAGACCGAGTTTTATAGCCTTGGATGGCAACTGGTCTACCACAGAAAGAAATGGCAACCAAACTACAGGGAAAAAATCTGCCTCGTCAGTCATGTATTGAAAGATACATGATTGCCTAAGTGTGTATCACACATGGCACATAACTGACTGAGTAATAATAATATTGATGAAGACATTTCATTCTGACATCTGATGAATTTTAATATTTTCTTATTTACATGTTTTAATGTTAAATTTGCCAATTTTGACTTTTTTAAAATTTAATATTTAGTCTTATGATCAAGGGGTAAAAGGAAAACTTTGAAATTTTGAAAAAATGTGAACCATAAAAAGGTCAAGAAACAGAAGACATTAATACAAAAACTTGATGCAACCTGTATGAGAAAGAGATGCACATGTTTGCCAACCCCAAGGAGTCAGATTTTATACAACATCCACAATATGATACATACCAGAGAATGGTTGAAGGGTATCCAACTATGTAATGATATTATTGTTGTACTGAGTAAAGATAACACAATACTTAATCTCTCATAGTTTCCATTACATTTTATTCAACTACAGACTTTATCAATTTCTGTCACTCAGTGTGTGTGTGTGTGTGTGTGTGTGTGCAGCTCTAGGCCCCTCATCCAAAATGCAGACCCTGCATTCTGATCAGCAGTGTCTGAAAGATACAACCCTCTTAACTGTGAGGTGGGTGTTTGTATGTCTACTTTTGCCATGTAGACTTTCTCATGTGTGTATCTCAGTTGCTGT